GTTGGGGGTTATTTTACCCTCCAACTTGCCGGGGGTGTTGAGATACAAGCAAACACAACAAATTAGCTACTTGGGCTTCTTTTTCTTTTTCTTTTTCTTTTTCTTGTTATTGGGCACACAAGTCCACAATGTAACTATGTATTTATATTAGGATATGTAATTAGTTGAGTGGACATATAAAAATACTGGGTCGGCCCATCTGTTAAAAAAAAGAGAGAAAACATTTTAATATCTTTGTACAGATTCCATCGGTCACTTTTCTCTCAATGCAAAACACATTGAAAAGCTAAAAACTTCCATTTTTCTCTGAGCTGCTTTACAACAAAATCTCAATAGTTTGTGGTTGAATCAAGTTTTAACAATTGTTTTACTATAATTTTGTAAAAAAATCATTTACACTGTCAATCGTAAAATAAGTCATTTTTTATAAGATGTTCACTAGTTTTCGCACCCAAATTAATCATCATATGCTTTTAATCAAACCCTAACCTAAACCAGCGAGCTGGTAGGTGCAAAATCTTTTTATCGCTAATTAAAGTGAAGGTGTACAAATATATTTGATTGTGTTGATATTTTTTTATATAAGTTTATTATGAACGTATTTTATCTGATCTTAGGATGATCATCTGATCTGCCGAGATTTAGGTAATCTTTCAATTTAGTAGGATTAAGATAAAGATTTTCATGATTTTAGGCCTAAATTGAAACGGAAAGAGTATTTTGAAGATACTGAAAGATCTTCAAAAAATATGAAAGCGTACATATAGAACAACGAAAGCAAAAGAGAATTGTTAGAGTTAAGACAATTTGGTTCTTTTTAAAATGATATAATTTCGTAAAATACTCCTCTAAACTTAATTTCAAAAGTACAATAAGTTCAACGCTAATAAGAATGTCCTTAAAGATAATTAAGGAAACAGTTGAAGAAGGAACAAATTCTAAATCTTTTTCCAACTAAATCAATCTTCGCAGAAAAGAAAATGACTCATCGTGAACTCTAAGCTGGCCGTTATATATAGGAAGCGCCCCTTGCTGAAAGATTATTCACCAATAATTAACCAGAGGAACAAAAAGAAACAGCATAAAAAAAATGTCTTGGGTCATTCGTACAGGTGTAAGCCTTACACTGATGAAGAGCAAGTGAAGGGTATACTCAAGAAATATGATAAGAATAGAGATGGTAAACTTAGCAAGCAAGAACTCAGGTTAGCTTTTAAAGAGATGGGTTTGCATTTTTGCCGTTGGAAAGCTGGAAAAGCCCTTCGTTTTGCAGATAAAAATGGTGACGGATATATTAACGAAGATGAGATTAGTGAGCTTGTCCAATATGCTTCCAAATGGGGTTTTAGGATTTCTTAGGCTTCTACGTTGTTTTTAGATCTGTATCTTCTTTTGTTGTCGTCCTCGTCGTCTTATTTTTTGTTTGAGAATCAAAGATACTTGTAGGGTCTTTTGGGAGTTTTATTAAGTATAAGTACTATGTAACTGCCATATGTCGTACATGTCTATGTTTCGCGTTTTCTATGTAAATTTTGTTCTTGTAGCCAAATGATATAAGCTATCTTCGACATTTTCTTCTCAGTTATCCCTACGAGCTTTCTTATCTCCTGTACAGGTGTGCTGAGGCGGATCTAAAAATTTAAGTTTATGAGTTTTTACAGAAATCTTAAGTTAATATACAATAATGGATTAACGGACTGGATTCTAATCTAATTATTCTTATATATTTAATGAATTTTTTCAATACAAATAACGAATCTAGACAAAAGTTACTTGAGTTCACGAGAACTTATAACTAATGCACTAAATTCCCCCTAAGGGTATGTAATATTGAAGTGGAGCTTTTATTTGAGATAGTTTGATCATGTCATACATAGATATTAGATGCGTCGATTTGTACTTGAGAAGGCCATGATGATTCAATTAGGTGTTAAAATGAGATGATGATTCAATTAGGTGTTAAAATGAGCTGAAGCAGATCACCTAAACTAATAGTTCTAAGCTCTCTCCGACTCCATGCAATGGTAAATCATGATCTTTGTCGCGCTTGAGGTTTCCAATATAATGAGTTACATTAAATACAAAAAGTAGGCATTATTGGAACATAAAATGATTAAGTAAATGATTACACACATCCACATATATTAAAAACAATTTTAGAAAGAGTTTAGCAGGGACAAGTCTTATTTAGGTGACCTTTTAGGGTAAGAAGCAATAATTATTACATTTGCTCCCTAAATCACTGCCCCAGGGCATAAAGTTTGACACGTCCACTATCTCAAGTTATTTTATCACCCTCTCACCTCCCTTTTCTATTCAAAGATTCTTGAGATTTTTTCCTCCAAAAATCGTCCAAACTATATGGTCTTGTTGTGACCCTTAATTACCCGTATGAAAAAGACTCATCAAAAGTTGAAATTCGAGGATTTTCAAATGTTGAAACTTGTTCAATATTGAGAATACTAACCAGTTTACAAAGTGGACGAGAAGGAGATTAAAGCAGTGTTAAACATATATTTGCATGTAATTGCCTACAATTTTGAATAATATAAATTCTCAGAATCATTCTCGGCTAGGCGTAGACTACTTTTAGGTTCAATTCACACTTATCTTAACACCAAAAGATACGCAAACGGATTGGGAAAGGGATAAGTTGTCTCTCTCTATGCTACGCTATTACGTGTATCATGCTTGTTTACCCTTTAAAATGGATAACAATTTAATTTATACATGGTTTTAAAGATATGTGAACTAATTCAATACAAGTGATTAATGACGTTAGATAAAGCAAATAAAAAATATAGTAAATAGCCAAACCAATGACGATAGTGAGTCCGAGCTCGGTTAAAGATTTAACAAGAAACATGCCATCGGTTCCGAGTTTGCACTTATGAAGAACTTATGAACAAAAACAATTACTTTGAATGAGTTTTAGAAACAAAGAGAACAGAAGTATATTGTCTTGGTATGTGTGTTAGAGTGTGTGTAATGAATAATTAGCTTTCCCTTTATATAGTAGGGGAGTTTTACCTTAGATAAAATCCTAAGAAAGGTAAAAATCTTCCTTATCGTTAGTCACTGATTTTTCGCCGATACGAGCCGAGATTCATGCTGTGATATCCGGTTGGGCACGGATATTACGGCCCTTTGTTAATCGTGTGCGGCTGTTTGGTAATGCTCTCTGAGGTCTCGAGACTCAAACCGAACCCGGGGGACGTGGTCTCGATGGCTCCGAGGGCAGATATTTTTCTCGGGCCCTTATACGGGAGGCTCCTGATGTGATTCTGATTCCTTACAGTCACGTCCTTACTCCATTTGCCTCACTGGAAATTGGGGTGTTCATTGGATTCGGTTTTACCCGTATACAATACTATACAATAGATGGTGACCTTATTGCTGTTTAGATGGAGTCGCGAGTCAGCAACAAACACGCACATGATTTTGTGCAAGTAGTATCAATCTATGGTATGTGTCTAGGGCGATGAGTACCAAGACTTCACTTAATTCCTCCCCCAAATGGTGTTTATTTTGAAACATTATCAAGAGATTTCTATCTATATTATATATGCATGTACATCCAACGAGTTATTTTAACGATTCCCATGTTCGTGGTTTGAAAAGAAGATTCCCATGCTTGGCCAGGAAATTTATTCGAACCTAATTAAGAGAAATTCAAAACAAGTTACATGCTCGTGCCCCGCAATAACTAATACAGCTAGCATTTTAGAACTACAATTTTGATTTTGGCATATATTGTATTATTTTAAACTAAAAAATTGTTATTCATGTACACACATATTTTCAAACAATTATTTTTATTATGGTGATATCTATATGGTTGCATTTTGTTCCCATTTATATTTTCCACCTATATATATGCCATCCCTTTGTTTGTTGCCATAGTCGTATGGATCATAAAATCATAGTATATCTTAAAGAGATTTTCATTTCCATATAAAATGTGACATCATGTATGATGACATCATCAGGCTTACATATTTCGGCCGATAAAACAAACATACTCCTCACTTTTACTCTAAAGAGAATTGCCTTTATTCCTGAACTATGTGTTGATTTTTGGTCCAAGGAGATCAATATTCATGAACATAACACTAGGGTTACACACGGTGACGGAGCCATGAATTTTATTGAGGAAAGTCAAAATATAAAAAAATAAATTTACCAAGAAGTCAAGGGGTGCCATTATATAATAGATATACATATTTTTTTAATTACCGAATTACACATTGTAATTTTTCGGTGAATGGGATGTCACTTGACACCTCTTTGGCACATGTGTCTCCGCCAGTGATTACACATTGCAATGATTATGAACCACGAATTTCATTCCGCTAGTCACCACTATTTTTTTTTTTAGGTTAAACTGTCAAATTTTATTTAACCAAGTATAAGTATTTATATCGCTAGCTCAATTAGACTCTAGAGCTAGACCCTATCTACTACCTATATAAAACAATATATCAAAAGAAGCATAGACCAAACATTTTTTTCTACTACTAAGAGTACCTAGCTTTTGTTATCTACCTTTACAATCAACTTAAACTAGCTAGGGAAACTATGTAGCCTTTCTAAATCTTTTTGCCATTTGAATTATGTCTGCCCCCAGATATGCATATCCAGTACAATATCTTTGATCCTCTGAGTGCAGGTTGCCATCTTTCCTTGAAAGCATCGGTGGTTCCTCTCTGCCCAGGTGTGGTAGACCACTGCTGCAAATAGAAACACTAGCATACCACCTGTGACTTTGCTGGTAGCCCTCCTTATTATCCATACAATCTTCTCATCACAGCTTCCTATCTGGTGTTTTTTTTCATATCCACTACAGTAATATAGCCTAGATAATTCTAGAGTAATCACATTCAAACATCATATATTCCATTGTCTCCTCATTGTTCATTCCAAATAATACATATTCACGTCGTACTGATATTTCCCATTTATGTAATTGATCAATATAGAGGCCTTGTCGCAATATAGAGCTACTTACTGCTGAATTTTTCTTGCTTATAGTATTTGGTCAAATCATCAATAGGTCTTTTTAGGATAAACCAGTCCCTAGTATCAAATATCTTCCTAATGAGCCAACAAGCCTGCTTAGGAGTATCCAGAGCCATAACATTTTGGTCTTTAATGTAGAAGCTATGGATCCATTGGATCCACAGAGTATCCTTATTTGTAGTTATAGCCCACAACAACTTACATATGGAAGCCTTATTCCAGGAGTAGATATCAAGAACATTTAGTTCACCTGCTGGCATTGGCATACAAATTGTATCCCAAGCTATCAATGCCCTCATAGATGGTTGACTGCTTCCTGTCTATAGAAAAGTTCTGCAGGTTGTTATAATTAATTTGCTAATCTTCTTTGGCAATAGAAACACATGCGCCCAGTATGCTTGCATTTCAAATACCACACTCTTAATTAGCTGAAATCGTCCACTATATGATAGAAATTTGGCTATCCAACAGTTATGTCTAGCAGTGATCTTCTCAATCAATGGCATCCATTTTTGTATAGACAGTTTTTTAGAAGACAAGGGCACTCCAAGATATTTAAATGGTAACTCTCCTAGTGTGAATTTCATTTCTTGTAGGATCATTTCTTTGAACTCCCTAGGAACGCCATCAATATACAAAGCACTCTTCTTCATATTATCCTTGAGACCTGAGACCTCACAGAAATGAGTAAACCTTTCCAGTAGCAAGCTAATAGAGATCTTGTCTGCTCTACAATATAAAATCAAATCGTCAGCAAAGCATATATGGGTTATGTTATTTTTGGATCATTTAAGATGGTAGTTAAAGTCTGGATTGTGCTTCAAACTCTTCCAAGACCTATTTAGATACTCCATCACCAATATAAATAGGTAGGGAAACATTGGGTCTCCCTTTCTTAGCCTTTTCTTTGCTTGGAATTTAGTAGTTAAGCCTCCATTCAATAACAATGACTAATTGACAGTAGTTACACACTCCATTATCAATTGAACAAACTTCACATACATTCCAAATTCTAGCAGTATCATCCTTAAGAAAGGCCACTCGACTGAATCATAAGCTTTCCTTATGTCTACTTTAATGCAACATCTTGGTGAGACCCCTTTTTGAGTATATCCCTTGACCAGTTTGTGTGCAATAATCATATTATCCAATATGTTCCTTCCTTCAATGAATGCTACTTGAGCAGGTCCCACAATGGAATCCACCACCATCTTTAATTTTGCTGTAATGATCTTTGAGATGAGCTTGTACAAAGTGGAGCAACATGCTATAGGTCTATATTCCTTAATAGATGTTGCGCTTGCAACTTTAGGTACTAACATTACTGTGGTACAATTGACACTTTTTAATAGCTTTCCATTTGTGAAAAACTCTTATATATCTTGTTTAACCTCTCCCCCAATAACCTTCTAGTATGCCTTAAAAAATTCAGCTAGAAATCTATCTATCCCTGGAGCCTTATCATTTGGCAAATATTTAAGGGCCTTGTCAATGTCGTCCTCTGTTACTTATGCATTGAGTAGTTGTTATTGTTCCTTGGTAAGACAATGACCACTTCTAGCTATACCAATATCAATACACGGGAGTTCAGTAGCTGAAGTGTCCAAGATTGTTTGAAAGAACCCTCTAAATTCTTGTTCTATCAATATTGGATCAGTCACTCTAAGCCCTAGGTCATTACATATAGATGCAATTTTGTTCCTAGATTGTTTGTCCTTCAAGTGAGCATGAAATAATTTAGTGTTCTGGTCACATGCTTTTATCCATATTGCTCTGGATCTCTACCTCAGTAACTGTTCATGTACTCTTTCTCATTTTTCAATCTGCATTAGCAACTCTTTTTCCTTCGCTATTAGTTGGATGTTGAATGGATCTTCATCAAGATTTTCTTGAGTATTATGCAGTTGCTCCCTGAGATGACTAATCATTTTTTCCAGTGAAGATATCTCTTTGTTCATTTGTTTTGTCTTATCTTTCAACCTTTGTAACTTCAGCCAAAGTGAGTACATGTTATTCCCCTATACTTGTTGATTCCACACCTCATGAATAACCCCTTCAAACTCCTTATGATTTAGTAGCACATTATATAGTCTAAAAGGTTTTGGTAGGTAGATTTTGTCTAAATCAGTGTTGATAATAATAGGAGAGTGGTCAAATACTCCTGCCATTTCAAAAGCATCCTCTAGGCTACTATAATGTGTATGCCAAGAAGCATTCCCCAAAGCCCAATCAATATTGCTATATATTCTACTCTCTACATCCCATTTATTACACCATGACAATTGACAACCCTTCCTATTCAATTGCCCCAATCAAATAGCCCTTATGCATTCTTGAAAGTCTACAAGTTCAGCTTGGTGCACAGGTTGCCCATTAATTCGATCATTGACAGACATCACATTGTTGAAGTCACCTATAACTAGCAAAGCCTCAAACATATTGCTATGTATTTGTCTGAGCTGCTCCCATAGGTCTTTTCTTCCATTTATTTTGTTCTTCCCATATACAAATGTTATGCAACATGAAAATTTTGATCCCTTATCGTTCACTTGACAGTGTATCAATTGAGTGGTTGCCAAAAGTATGTGTACATGCACCGTGTTTTCCTTTCAAAAGAGCCATATTCTCCCATTTTTACTTATAGTTTCATCTGAGTATACTTTCCAGTCTTTACAAAACTTTCTTCTAACTTTGCTAACACTCCTAGACTTTATCTTTATCTCAAGGTAGCCTAGTAGAGTGATTTTATGTTTTGGTAGAAAGGCCTTGAGTTCTTTCTACTTATAGGGCTTGTTCAACCCGTTTATATTCCAGGAGCTTATATCATGGTGGATTTTCCTCATTGAGGCTAATCCCTTCAGTCACCTTGTCAGGGCTGCTATCTTCTTGTATTCTCAATGGACTATATTTGTTTCGTTTCAGCATATTCTCTAAATCAGTTTTAGTTAAAGCTCATTTTTGTTGTGTATATCCTTCAGTTTTCATCTTTTGCTTCCCTTTAGAGTTTGGTTGTATCTCCATCTATTGCTCAGTAGTTGGCTCTATAATAGCTTGAGTTTCCTGTTGTTTCTGTAGTTGTTCAAGATTCTGCTCCTTCTACACCTGTGATTGCTCAGTAGCCAGTTTCACTCTCCACTGAACAACATGTTATTTTCTGTGTTATTCCTTAACTTCTTTCCCCTGCCTCTGCTGTTGTTTATCATTTTTCTCCAAGTTGCCATTGTTTTCAATGATTTCCTTTTGCTGCCTCACTCATTGAGCCTTCACACAATTCTCAGTATGTTTCCCTATTTGAAAACACCCTCACAAAAAGATGATTTTCATTCATAGTCCAATGTTTGTTCTCTATACTTGCCATCTACTTCTTTGCGCATTGTATCTAATAGCTCCTGCGATATATCCATTTCAACAATCATACGCGCATAGGAAATCCTATCCCCTGTGTTGTAAGTTTATCCGAACATATAGGTTTTTCTATGTAGCTGGCTATACGTCCAAAATTATCCTTTGTCTAGTATTAGATTGGTAATCCTCGGAATATAATCCATATTGGCACATTTCGAGTCAATTTTTTACTCATCTGGAAATGAGGCTCTCATTGCTTCAGTATCATAGGTCTATTATGATATGTATATAGACCTTGTTGTATAATTTTGTTCTTATCTGCCTCAGATCTAAATTTGAAGATAAAGTACCCAACATCAAGTAGGAATACATGTGGTGCAGTGATAAAATTTCACACACCATACACAAATTTTAGCATATCTTTGAAGGAGGGAGTTCCACCCAGCACATGCCCAATTAGTGCTTCTATTCATTTCTGGGTTTGCTCTACTACTTCAACCTGATTAAGTTGCACAATCTTCAATCCTTCCTTCTTTATTGGCAGATAGTATTCCAATTGCAACCCTTATTGCTGAGCTCGATTTTTACCACATCAGCTAAAGTCAGCTTTGGACAACTAGGGTTTGCTCGTTGCACTGAGAAAGTCAGTTTTCTTGCTGCTGTATTGACATCTACCTCTGCTGGTCTGGGATTCTTTTCTTCAATACATTTTAAAGCTTGCATGATTGTTGGTGCGCTTCCCAATCCAGTCATCTAGTGGACCGGTTGCATCTGACCTATCATTTGTGGTACTCCTGATTCCGGTGTTACCATTCTACCTTGTTCATCCGTTTCTGGTATTGTATACGGTGCAATTATCTGTGATTTTCGTCGGGCCATCTTCGTTATGCGTACATTAGCTCTCCCTGTTTAACGTGCGCCTTCAGAGCTTAGGTCATCGAAGGTCCCCCACACGTAATGTTTACTTCTCGCTAGTCACCACTGTTAGACTTCCTTTGACCTCATGATGTACTAGAAAGAATTATATCAGAAAATAAAGTATTAGTAGTTATTTAATCCTTTAATATTTCTAATTTTAGCTGTCTTATTAAATGTTACTCATTTTGCAAAAACATAATATATATTTAAAATCATTTATGTATTTAAGTAAAGCTAATTGTAAATGAACTTTAATTAATATTGTCATTTCGTAATTAGAAACTCAAAAATACTATTTATAAAAATTAGCCCAACACAATTATTTAATATTAAAAAATAATGCTTCTCTTCAAAAGTATTTTCCTGAATAACTTTTTGCATAAAAGAATTTTTCATAAATAAGCAGTTTTGAGAAGTTTTGCCAAGCATATATCTACATGGAGCAAATTTAAATTAACCGAGCCCAGAATTTTCGAATGGAATGCTTAAAAAGAAAAAAGAAAGACGAAGGCTAAGCTATTGGAAGTAGACTCAAAAACTCAACTGCATCCATCCACTAGCACAACTGTACAAGTTGGCAATATTTGTTACCGCAGGACACACGAAAAAGAGAACTACAAAATTCACCCACATATAGATTTTATCATATGTAACAATCTTGAAGGAAAAGAAGCATACGTTAAGTCACTATAATAAGTAATTAACTAGTCACTTCCTACAGCAAGCCCAGTCGTACCTTAACTAAATTTCTTTTGACTAATTACTTTTTGACCGGCGCTTTCTTTATCTTCTGTTATTCCTTCTTTTTTTAAAAATTAAAATTGTATGTACTAAATTGATGTAAAAAGTCCTTTAAATTATGAAATTTGTTAGATGGCCCCTTTTAGGTTCAGAAGTTTCAAAACTTCCCACTTAGTGGAATAAAATTGCAGGTGTCCCTTTGGGTAAAAAAAAAAAAATTATACTATCAAATTTATACTTGCTATCATTAAATCGTGGAGCCTTACCTATCATTCCACTTTGGCTGCCAAAGGCATAGAGTATTATTTAAAATAACCTCTAAAGTTAGCAACTTAGTAGTAGTGTTTTAAAAGGCATTTCTCGGACTCGTCCGGGACTCGCCCCTGGGCGGGGGCACTTGCAAAACACTCTGGGGCTCATGTATGGGGCTTAGTTCTGTGAGGCTTATGCCCCAAGCGCCCGACCGTGCGCCCTAAACACGTCTAATGCCCAACGCTCGGGGCTCGCCTAACAGTTCTAACGCAAATCATGTGTCGAATTTCCTAATTAATATCGTTGACCTTAAAAATTTTTTAACAAATTAATGATAAAATTTCTATTCATCAATAGAAATATGAAGATTCAGCATAACTCTAATAATGAGACATAGTATTGCGAATTTATATCTTCACTTGTTATTGGTCGTGTCTTAGTTCATTTGTCCCTCCTTGTTATACACTTTTATTAATTTGATATCTTAAACTAATTTATATTTATTCATGAAGGAGTAATATTTTAATTATCGTACTAATAAGATTTTAAATTATTTACTTTTAGGAAGGTAAAATATGGAGTTTGGTCATTTTTTTTAAAGAAATTCTGGCATTTTTTTATAAAGTTGCTGGCATTTTTTTTATAGAGTTTGATCTATTTATAGAGTTGCTGGCATTTTTTTAAATAATTAACGAAAAATTCAATCCGGAATAACCCATGACCCGCGACCCGGTCCGGTCAAGCCCGTTTTCTTTCCCGGATTATTTTAACTCCATTTTTTCGTAATATTTGAAACAACCATGGCTGTTTCTGAAAGCCGCTTCAAGGGGAATGAAAGTAAAGGCCCATTCTCTAAGCACCCATGAAACCAGACGGTGTTCATGGCTGAAACGAACACAACCGTGAGAACCAAAGATGGTTAAGGATTGATTGTGTGACTTATGTTGTCTAGGTATACAACAAAGCTCGACGGTTCAAAGATATCAAATCTACCGATTGACCGACTATATCCGATATAAGTTCACTACGGAAAGTTCAAAGGGAAACCTACTTATCCAGATGCAAT